TAGTGTCATGAAGATAAACTGATGTTAAATTCAGCTTAAAGACGAACTGGGAGGAAGCTTTGGTTCATCTTAAGTTACAGGAGGTCTCGTCTCCTATCTGCTCCTCCAGAGCCAGCACGGACATGAGGGTCACATGGTGAGGGTCCCACAGGACAGGCTAGTGCAGTCACACAGCCGAGCTGCAGGGGGACAGGTGTTGTCCTTTATATTGCAAGCTTGTGTGTTATGTGCGTTACAGCCAGCGATCCAAACAGCAGCAGCACCCCATCACCCCCCCCCCCCCCCCCCCCCCCCCCCACCCCCCCCATCATTCAGAAACCGTGAATGATCTGGAGCAGTTCAACATTTTGTGCTGAAAAGTGATGGAATCAAATCCATCCAGCCTTCCATTTCCATCCACTTATCCGGGGTCCGGTCGCGGGGGCAGCAGCTGAAGCAGAGAGGCCCAGACTTCCCTCTCCCCAGCCACTTGGGCCAGCTCCTCCAAGAGAATCCCGAGGCGTTCCCTGGCCAGGTGAGAGACATAGTCCCTCCAGCGTGTCCTGGGTCTTCCTTTAGGTCTCCTCCCGGTAGGACGTTCCCAGAGCACCTCACCAGGGAGGCGTCCAGGAGGCATCCTAATCAGACGCCCGAGCCACCTCAACTGGCTCCTCTCGATGTGGAGGAGCAGCGGGTCTGCTCCGAGCCCCTCCCAGATGACCAAGCTTCTCACCCTATCTCTAAGGGAGAGCCCAGCCAGCCTGTGGAGAAAAGTCACTTCAGCAACCTCATTCCTTTGGTCACTCCCCAGAGCTCGTGGCCACAGGTAAGGGTAGGAGCTCAGCTCTCTCCACCACAACCGACCGGTACAACGTCTGCAGCACCAATCCGCCTTTCGGTCTCACGCTCCAGCTTTCCCTCACTCGTGAAGATACTGGAGGCGGGACCTCGTCCCTGACCTGGAGAAGGTATTCTACCTTTTTTCGACCATGGCCTCAGATTCTCATCCCAACTGCTTCACACTCGGCTGCAAACCGCTCCAGTGAAGGATGGGATCGGGGCCAATTAGGTCAAAACGTTTCTGCTAAGCAGCAAAAACACCGAATCAGTGAAATTAACTCATACATTTGCTCATATCGACTCACTCTGGTGGTCATCCTGACTTGGGTTGACTGCTACAAATAGTCCCTTGATGTTACAGATGACATTAACACACACAGGCAAAAACATCATCACCCCCTTTTGATTCTTTGTTTCAGAAAGACATTTTTAAAATGTGCTTACGTGAATGCCGTCTTTCCCTCCTCGATGTCCTTGTTCTTGGCTCCTGGTCCAGCTTTTCCACAGAAGGTTACGGCAATGCACATGAGGAGCCCGCACTTGTTCAGGAAGAAGCAGGCGACGTCAACGGCAACCAAGAGCACGAAGAAGACCACAACGAGGATGCCCACGATGGCTCCGGTTCCCAGTCCCGAGCCGCCTTCCCTGGTGTCTGAAGGAGACGAGACAGGTAGCGGGAATACGCAGGCAAACAGGCAGAAGAAGAAGATGAAGAGTGGAGACAGCAAGAAGATTAGAAAGAGACGAGGAGAGAGATGATGAGGGATGAAGTCAAGCCTTTTTACTGCAGTGATTCAGGTCGCAGTCAGAACTTCCCTCTGGAGACGGATCTTCCCAGAGACACTGGCCTAATCCTCGGCTTCATTACAGCGACTTGACATTTACTTTGGAAAATCACGACACACTTGAGGTGTTCAATTTTCCACTTGCAGAATCTGAAGAGATTAAAAACCCTAAATGAATAAACACCCACACTCGTACACAACCAGTGGGAAGAAACCTGCCGCAGAAGCTGCGACTACACTTTTGAGCTACTTGAGCCTTTAATTCCACCGTTTCTAAGATGAATATGCTATAATTCCTGCGCTGCTACACATTCTTCAGCTTTAATTATTCTTTATTTGTAGGAAAATGTGTTTCTAGAAGTGGGACAGCTCAGTTTTTTCTTGTGTTTTAACAGAAAAACAAACAACAGACTCTGGTCCAGCTGTGAACTGCTGCCGCACCGTCCCCCCCCCCCCCCCCCCCCCCCCCCCCGTGTGTGTTAGTTAGGAATAGAAATCATAGAAGAAGCTTGTTCAAAGTTCTGACACGTTGTGCAAAGAAAGATGCGTTACTCCACAGGATTTGTCCAGAACCACCCCTACAGCTCCCGCTCGGTGCGGGACGATGCTGGAGCACATCCTGCTAGACGTCCAGACCAGAGCAACACTCCAACGCTGACAGCTCAGGAAGAACATGGAGACCAGAGAGAATTCATCTGTGTTCTTATCTGAGGCGTGGAAGAAACCAAGGTTTGTATGTGTCCAAATCCAGACAGGCAACAGTTTCTTTCAAATAACCATTCATATCTATTAGTTTACCCAAGGTTTTCAAATAATAATATTAATAATTATAATAATAATCCATCATGAATTACATTTTTTAATCGTTTAAAATAAAAAGTAATAAATACGAAATTCCAAGAGGCAGGTCATGGGAATCAATAAAATATAACAAAATAAGAGTAAACCAGACAGGAAGGAGCATCCCACAGAAAAATCTTTGAGAATTAAATATTCAGCTTACCAGCACATTATTATTCTAAACACACCATAAAACCTAAAAACTTAACTTTCATTTCTTAATTCTTCCTGATGCAAAATGACATTACATTAAAGAGCAAGTCACCCCCTACCAGAGTATTACTCCACTCCCACTTCCTGTTTGAAAAATGCAACAAATGCTGTTGCCTAGCAGACCGAGAGGGCGGAGCCGCTAACAAATACACACACACAGGCTCACAACGACACTGTGACATCATATGGTACCAGCTAACATTCTAGGGCACCTTAGCGATGGCAGATTTGAATTCAACTGCAGTGCAGAGTTTTTACCTGACAACACTGACAGTTTTAGGCAGAAAGTTTTAATTTCAACCAAAATGCACTAAAGTACAAAACTACTGACGACACGTGTCTGCAGCACGATTACACACACATTTATATAGTTTATCAGAAAAATAAAGTTGATTTGGGTGACTTGCTCTTTAAAGAGGTTTTTCACTCATAGTATTAATGCATGCAGTGGTAGTAAGAATGAATTCTTTGGAGGTCGTACTCTGGGAAAAACAGCACCTTGTGCACCTGTTTCAGCACACAGAATTCAGCCAGAAGAGGAAGTAGCTTCAGACGACAGGATTTGTAGTATCGTTCCTGATATTTGGACATCTCGCCTCTGACTGGATAACAGCAAAGCGACGCGACCACTGACTGCTAGCGCTGCAACTTTGATGTTTTATCTCTACAAATACAAGTCAGGAGTTCTGTCGAGTGGTGGAGTTGCTAATGCTAACAGTTAGCTTCTACTAGCTGAGATGTTCTCTGCTTTGTGGTGGAGTTGCTAATGCTAACAGTTAGCCTCTACTAGCTGAGATGTTCTCTGCTTTGTGGTGGAGTTGCTAATGCTAACAGTTAGCTTCTACTGGTCGAGACGTTCTCTGCTGTTTCCTGGACGTTAACCCAACAACAGCCTTCCCCGTCGTGGGTCAAGATGGGCGAGTCCATGAATGTTAGTGACAGGGTGACGTAGATCTGTCAGGATTTTCTAATCCTAGAGTTTCACCATCTATTTTCTATCAGAAGCTAATGCAGGAGATAGGTGTAGGAGACTATTTTCATGAATAACTCAGAGTGACTGGAAAAAAATTCAAGTTGAATTTTCAGTTTAATATGAATATTTTTGAACAAGAAATGCAAAGTGAAGATGGTTCATGCCTTACAGCTATCTTTTCTTTAAAAAATGAGCAAACGTCTTTGTTTCATGTGGTTTTATCAAATGGTGAGTTTGGACCTACCTAAAGGACCATCTGTAGGTTTAAGTTAACCTTTTATTCCACAAACCTAATAAGGACAACATCCCACTTCCAGAAGCTGAGTAGCAGCATCTGGATTTGTATTATTTTTGCACATTTGCAATTTAAACTCAGTCTGAAAGAACATGTAAAGATTTGCTTTGATTTGTGTGACTTTGGCAGAAAGATTGAATGAAATAAACTGCATATAAAAAGTAAAATGGAAACACTACAGAGGCTTTCCAAACATCCAATCTCAACGCAGCACTTTTCTTCATACGAGCTCACAGATGTTCACTTTCTCTCCACGCTGACCAAAATAGTACCCGTGTGCTGGAGACGTGCTTTCACAGGTGACTACTCTGTTACAGACGACACTTGTTTCTCCTCTGCTCATTGCCCCATTTGCATTTTAACAGGAACAATAAATCACGTGAAATGTATTCTCAGCAGAGGAGTTGTTGCTTTTTCCCTCTTTTCCCACACCGAGTGCTCTCACTGCGAGAGAGTGCATGGCTCCACATGTCAGGATGGACCACACCAACATCTGTCCTCTTCAGGTGCACAACTCAGCCAGCTTCCAAGAAGACAGCTGCTGCTGATAAACGGAGTGCGATGAGAGATCAGTGAGCGCTCACGGTTCAGGAATGACAACATGCCAGGCGTGTGGACTCATGCTGGTTAAAAAGCACTTATTTCTTATAATGAAACACCATCAGTATGTTACCTATGGGAGGCCTGAGGACGTCTAGAGAACCACATCCACAGTGCAAAGGCTTCATGCTCTCCTCTGCAAATAAATGACTTAAGTATAGATTCCATTAATTCATATATTATTTAAACATAAAACATCTAATAATTAAAATATAACATGTGTTTGTTGCTTTTTTAAAGATTGTTGTATTTCCCAAAGATTGATTTTCTTATTAAGGTATTAAACAGTTTTCTTTGGTAAACATCTGTTAAAGTTTCACCACTGTGTGGCACTAAACCACCATCCAACCCCCTTCAGCAGTTTTATCATCTGGTTCTCAGATCTGAATCTTCCTGAGCCCAGCAGCTAAAGTGGGAAGACTGGATTTTGGACTGCTAACCCTTTGAGGTTCTGGTAATTTGCCCTGAAGCAAAGCAAAGCAATCTAAAATATATTGTTATTACACTCAACAAAAATATAAATGCAGCACCTTTGTTTCTGCTCCCATTTTTCATGAGATGGACTTAAAGATCTAAAATTCATTCCAGATACACAATATCACCATTTCTCTCAAACATTGTTTACAAATCAGTCTAAATGTGTGATAGTGAGCACTTCTGCTGCTGATATAATCCATCCCACCTCACAGGTGTGCCGCATCAAGATGCTGATCCGACATCATGAGTAGTGCACAGGTGTACCTTATACTGCCCACAATAAAAGGCCACCCTGGAATGTGCAGTCTTTTGCTTTATTGGGGGTCTGGGGACTCAGAACCGGTCAGTATCTGGTGTGACCACCATTTGCCTCATGCAGTGCAACACATCTTCTTCGCATTGAGTTTATCAGATTGTCAATTGTGGCCTGTGGAATGTTGGTCCACTCCTCTTCAATGGCTGTGTGAAGTTGTTGGATATGAGAGGGAACTGGTACACGCTGTCGTATACGCCGGTCAAGCACGTCCCAAACATGCTCAACGGGTGACATGTCCGGTGAGTATGCTGGCCATGCAAGAACTGGGACATTTTCAGCTTCCAAGAATTGTGTACAGACCCTTGCAACGCGGGGCCGTGCATTATCTTGCTGAAGCATGCGGTGATGTTCATGGATGTACGGCACAACAATGGGCCTCAGGATCTCATCACGGTATCTCTGTGCATTCACAATGCCATCAATACACCTGTGTTCTTCGTCCATAACAGATGCCTGCCCATACCATAACCCTTCCACCACCATGGGCCAGTCGATCCACAACATTGACATCAGCAAATCGCTCACCCACACGACGCCACACATGCTGTCTGCCATCTGCCCTGAACAATGTAAACCGAGATTCATCCGTGAGGAGAACACCTCTCCAACGTGCCAGACACCATCGAATGTGAGCATTTGCCCACCCAAGTCTGTTACGGCGACGAGCTGGAGTCAGGTCAAGACCCCGATGAGGACGACGAGCATGCAGTTGAGCTTCTCTGAGACGGTTTCTGACAGTTTGTGCAGAAATTGTTTGGTTATGCAAACCAATTGTTTCAGCAGCTGTCTGAGTGGCTGGTCTCAGACGATCTTGGAGGTGAACCTGCTGGATGTGGAGGTCCTGGGCTGGTGTGGTTACACGTCGTCTGCGGTTGTGAGGCCGGTTGGATGTACTGCCATATTCTCTGAAACGCCTTTGGAGACGGCTTATGGTGGAGAAATGAACATTCAATGCATGAGCAACAGATCTGGTTGACATTCCTGCTGTCAGCATGCCAATTGCACGCTCCCTCAATGCTTGTGGTATCTGTGGCATTTTGCTGTGAGACAAAACTGCACATTCCAGGATGGCCTTTTATTGTGGGCAGTATAAGGTACACCTGTGCACTACTCATGATGTCAGATCAGCATCTTGATGTGGCACACCTGTGAG